CAGACTACAGGTGGCCCCCCACAACACCCAGTTGTGTTTTTTTTGTTGCAATTGTTATCATTGTTTTAACAGACTGGGGCCAGGCTTGAACCCACCAGCCTCAGTGTATGTGGCCAGCACCCTACCCACTGAGCTATAGGCACCACACTCTTTTTTCCTTTCTTTTTTTTTTCAAGCAATTCAGATCAGACTTTTCTTTTTAAAGCCCTTGCTTCCTCACACCATCCCCTCCAAAGCATACTCGCATACATACAGGCATGTTGGCTTCTGACTATTTACCAAACCACATGTCACCATAGGTAGTATCATGAAATAGACCCATGATAGGCTCCACTGAAACTCACTCATTAGCAAGTGCTGGACCTCAGTTTCCTAACCCCTAACATTGATGTGAGCTAAGTAACCTCTGTGTCCTGTCCACATGTACCATGGCATACTTGCAGAAGTTTTCAAAGTAGGACTTTGTCTTACTCAGTCTAAAATGAGAGATTGGAAGGGATAAGGGAGGGGGATGGGTGAATTCCCACCTAATGGGCACAATGTAAGGGTACGTGGCACACCTGGGTGCGGGACACAACTATAACAGGGACTGACCTAACAAATGCAAACATTGTAACCTAATCATTTGTACCCTCATATTAATCTGAAATATTATAAAAAAAGATTAACAGGGGCATTTTCCTTCTGTCCTCTTCAGAAGGCAAGTAGGATCCTGCAAATATACAAATTTTCCTTTTACTGTATGGTGGATTAACTATTAATTAATATGAACTCTTTGGAAATGAGTTACAGAGCTGGACGTTATTGAATTCTAGAGATGATGTCATCTCTATCTGTAGAGTTTTGAATGTGCACAATAACACATAGAAACTCAATAAATATTTGCTGGAGTCCAGCGCCGTGGCTCACCCTGTAATCCCAGCACTCTGGGAGGCTGAATTGGGTGGATTGCCTGAGCTCACAAGTTTGAGGCAAGTCTGAGCCAGAGTGAGACCTCGTCTCTAGAAACAGCCAGGTGTTGTGGTAGGCACCTGTAGTCCCAGCTACTTGGGAGGCTGAGGCAAGAGAATCGCTTAAGCCCAAGAGTTTGAGATTGCTATGAGTTGTGATGCCGTGGCTCTCTACCCAGGGTGACAAAGTAACACTCTGTTTCAAAAAAAAAAAAAATTTGTTTGAGTAAAAAAATTTAAAACAAAATGAGAAAGTGTATTAGAGATATTCTGTGTTTCCATAATTTCTAGTGCCTAAAGTAAAAGTTCCTATTGAAATAGAGACTTCCCCTTCTAATGAAATTTTTAAAAAGTAAGAAATGTGTGCGTTACCTCTAAAGATACAGTTATTCCCAGGGAAAATGCTCTCTTGGGACTGTTCAGACAACCTGTTACCTTTGGAAGGATCTCACATACTACCCAAGTCATGGGTGTATGTGCAAAATTATCTTCTACTCTTACCTTTTCAGTTCTGCTAAAGTGGTAGGTCCCTACTAAAGTAAAGTAATTGTTTTGTCCATTGAGATTAGCTGTTTCCCTGTAATTTTACCTGGTGGGGAAGGCTTGCTCTTTTGCACGTTAAGCTTTATGAAATCCTTTGTGTTTCCTGGACAGAGTCTTGCTAAGCTGCAGGAGCGGTTTCATTTGGATCAGAACATTGGCAGATCGGAGCCAGATTTGAGATCCAGTCCTGTGAACTCTCATTTATCTCTGTCCAGACAGACCCTTGATGCTGGGTCACAGACCAGCATTTCCGGAGATGTAAGTTCCTCTGTCCCAGACCTGGCCTGGTGTGTCCCTGTGGGGCCTTAATTGCGGTATGGACGGTGAGCTAGAACAGGAGCTGTATGTGATCTGGATTCCAGCTGTGTACACTGCACTTCATTCTCATAAGTTTTTAAAATCATAGCCTTATCTTTTCTGTCTAGCTGCCAAGCATATCAGAATTTGTCCATATGAATAGCTTTATTCAAACTTTCTCATGCTGTATTTCTTCAGAGACATTAGTAAAACGCCTGAGACCCATGAGAATTTAACTTTTTCCCATTACATTCAGCATCTTGGAGATGTAGTTCCTTTCAAAAAGATGTTCAGGCTAATAAGAAACAGAAATGTATGTCTTTTAAAACTAACAACATTTATCTTTGTAAATCCGAAGGTTTTTATATTAACATGTTTAATTTGTGACAGCTAACATTTGAAAATAGTATGGCTCAGCCATCATTGATTATTGTACCTTTTCCTTTGTGGGATAACATTAGCAGGTGTTTACTTTTCAGTAAATTCCCAGTTATTTTCATATTCTCTTATTCTTTGAAGTGTATGCTATAAAAGTGAAATAGAGAGAGATAAATGGTAGGGCTTAGCTGTCTGAAAATTACTTTGTGAAGTTGTTTAGTTTGTATTTTGTATAGTTGAAAGTCAAATGATGGAAATTTTGGCTCATAAGGGCAAAGAAATTAGTTCCAGTTCATAACTCTTATTAACCTGTACACTCTTCATAAACTCTAAGATACCAGACACATTTACCTGGTATTTTTTGTCTAGAATTTAATGTGTGGAGAAAATGACGTTAAAGTCTTTGAAAAACAGTTAAATTGAAAGAAATGTTTTGCCCCTACTAAGACAATAAAGTAAGTGCCTTTTTAAATTGGTATTTCCCAATTTCAGTACCATCTTCTTTGGTTTTTCAATTACTTGTACTTCCTAGAAACAAAAGCAGTTTACTTTGTTCATTAGCAGAGTTAATTGACTTTTTTTTTTCCCTTTTGTTTTTCAATAGATTGGAGTGAGAAGTAGATCAAATTTAGCTGAAAAGGTCAGGCTCAGCCTACAGTATGAAGAAGCCAAAAGGAGGTAATGACGGGGAGGGGTTTTGCTATGGCTCAATCTCTTTCTTTTCCAGAATTAATCTTTACTCCGACGGTGACACCTGCTGGGCACTCCCCGAACGTTCCCACCAGGAGTACTCTTGGTTTTTAGCATCCTTCTCCTCTCTAAACTCTACCTCTCGCTTTTCCTCTCTCCCCTCAAAGCTGAAGAACAGGGAGAATTAGTGAGAAGTGTGAGAATGAATGTGTCCCCTTTTCTTCAGTAAAAAAAAAAGAAGCTTTGAGCTTATACAATACTTAGTTACTTTTCATTAAATGTTAGAAGATTGATTCCTGAGATGGAAGTTCTAAGATAAGTAAGTGTGTTCCTTTGCTTTGAAGGGCTGTCTTTCTGCTAATGCCCATGGAGGTGTCACTTCCAGTTGGCTTCCTTCAGGGAGAAAGGAAGACGACTTCTCGCCTTTCCTTAGAAACTCTCATTGACCCTGTGCCGTCCTCCCCTTGCTTTGTAGCTCTTCAGTGCAGTGTAGGAGAGTTCTCTGTCTTTATCTAGTAGATAGATTCGAATTGTTTTAAGAGTAATTAGCCATTGTTCTTAGAGATTATCAGGCTTTAACAAAGCAAAATAAATACAATGTTTGCCGCCATGTAGGCTGTGTTCTTAATATTACTTGTTATCTCCATTTACTGAGAGAAACCCAAGCTCCCTTCTGCAAATTATTAACCATATGAGCTTGTGCAAGTCCCTCAGTCACTGCGAGCAGCAGTTTGCTCGGCTAATGTCAATGCCTTTAAATTTTCCCTGGTAGATTTTTTGAGTCTTGTTCTATCACTCAGGCTAGAGTGCAGTGGTGCAATCATACCTCACAGCGGCCTCCAACTCCACAGCTTAAGTGATCCTCCTGCCTCAGTTTTCTAAGTAGCTGGGACTACAGGCACCCACCACTGTGCCCAGCTAATTTTTTTTTTTTTTTTAAATTGGTCTTGCTATATTGTCCAGGCTCAAATTCCTGGCCTCAAGTGTTCCTTCTGCCTCAGCTCCTCAAGTAGCTGGGACTATAGATGTGTGCCTCCAAACTTGGCTAATTAAAAAAAAAAAATGCTGTAGTAAAGACAGGCTCTCTCGAAGTTGTCCAGGCTGGTCTCGAACATCTGGCCTCAAGCGATCCTCTAACCTCAGTCTCCTAAGTGCTGAGATTACAAGCATGAGCCACCATACTGTAGGATTTTTATTTCTTGAGGCTAGAAAAGATGTTGCGTATTTTATTGCCCCCTTCTCAGAGCCCAGACTCTTCCAAAAATGTGGAGGGTCAATCTGTGGCTTTGGTGGCTGGTGCCCTGTAGGAGTCAGGGGATACTGCTGTGCTCTCTTGCTGTGGATGTGCCAACCCCTCTGCGGCCACCGCTCTGGGCTCTGCTGTGGGCAAGGTCCAGGATTCATGTATGGAGAATGGCCATAACACATAGCTGATGTGGTGAACCAAGCCTTATGCTGCTTTTTGGGGGGCTTGAGTCTCCTCCTGGATCAGCTCCAGCTTTGGCGTCACTAAGACTCCCTACCAGTCCGTTCCATGTGCATTCATGCGGCGTTTTTCTTTTCTGGTGCCCCCTGCAGGGAAGCCTTCGTAGTCTGTCCTCAGACTTGGCTTCTAAAATACAACTTAAGACCAACCTAATGCCTGGTCACACAGGTAATAATAACCAAGGGCTTTTCTTCCCTGCATCGTGCACTGCTCCCATGGCTGATTTATTCACATCAAAACTTAAGGCACTGGTTCTTCCCCATCTGGTCGCATCGCTGTGTCTTTGGGGTTTCATTTTAAAGTCAGCATTGATGCTGACGAGGAGCTAAATCTCAAAGGCTTATGCACATGTTGAAAACGCTTTGTCCTCCTCAACTGTGAGTGAGTAAAGAGGCAGGCTGTGTTTCCCTGAAATCTGTTTTCTCTTTCATCCTTTGTTTTATGTGCTTAATGAAGCTAATAATATCATGCTTATTTAGCATCTTGATGATTAATTTTCTAGTACGTTGGGACAGTTGTTTATGGTTTTGTAGTTAAAGCTGAAGAATAGCTGATGTTACATCTATCATAAATGCAGACGGCGGGTGAAAGTCAGGAGGCCGAGCCAATATATAAAATGGTGATTTTAATTTTAGTCACATAAGAAACTTAGGTTACAAGGGTGTGCATCTACTTCTATCTTTGTTCCTAATTATGCTTTGTTTGTTTGTTTGTTTCTTAAGTATTATCATCAGAAACTTAGAATTGTTTTTGGCAGTTGACAGCTTTACAAACAAAATGTAAACTTCTTGAAAGATCAGTGGTTCTAATAATTTATTTATTTATATTTTGGTTGCAGTTTTTGGCTGGGGCCGGTTGTGAACCCACCACCTCTGGTACATGGGGCTGGCCCCCTTTTCTTTGAGCCACAGGCACCGCCCCATAATTATGCTTTTTGTTCACCTTTTTTCTTCACTTCTATAATTTCTTCCATCAAAAAGGAGAAAAGGCCGGGCACAGTGGCTCACACTTGTAATCCCAGCACTCTGGGAGGCTGAGGCATGAGGATTCCTTGAGCTTAGGAGTTCAAGACCATCCTAAGCAACAGCAAGACCTCATCTCTTTAACAAAAACAGTAGAAAAGAAATAAAGAAATATCCCTTTCCGGCTCGACGCCTATAGCTCAACCG